TCTTCTCTCTCTCTCTCTCTCTCTCTCTCTCTCTCTCTCTCTCACTCACTTTTCTTGATTTTTTATAAGGCGAGATTACCTTTTTCTCTTCTATCTCTCTCCCTCTCTTTCACTCTGTGCCATGTTTTTTGAAAAGATTGCAACTGGTAAACTCCATTGGAAGCATAACATGTTTGTCACGCAACAAGGCCACTATGACAATATCATCATACCGTCAAGTTCCATTACAACGAACTTCGAATGGACTTAAGAGATGTTTTGGTCCAGTAATGCAAGTTAGACATCTAAAGACATTGATACATCTTCAAATTATGACCGACAGAGAAGACACGCAAACAAAACCATTAGATCTTTTGTATTCAAATTTACATTAACAAATGACTCAGAATTAAAAGAAGGAGACGTGAGAATAAGAAAAAAATATGCGACCAAATTTACAATGAAAAATAATTATAATTTGAAAAAATATAATTTACTTTGTTACCTAAATCATATTCAAGAGATTAATGTAATTTATTATAAATTTATTGTGCATTGTGTGCTTAAAAGTTAATTAAAAATTCGTTTGAGAGAATTAATTTTATTTTACTTTATTTTAGCTTTCATATAGGTATAGGAAAAATCGAAGGACTTGTGGAGCATTGGTTTTTATTAATGACCTTTAACGTAAAGATTATTTTCCGATTTAAAAAAGTTTTCAATCCACGAGGTTGCATAATCCGATCACGTTAACACTTATATACGTATCGTACAATAGTATACGATATCACAGCAATTATAAATATATTATATAATTATAAATATATATAGATCTCCTTTTGAAATGTTAATCTATTTCGAATCACGTGCATTCTAGGCTTAATCAGCCAATTTCCCATCCTACGACGCATGTCGTTATCACGTCGTATTAACAAACTCTCTCTGCAAAGAATTGATTAATTACCAGGAAAAGCATCGGCTTTTTATCGCGGGACAGGGATAAAAATTTCACGATAAAAATTCCTGGGAAGCGATTTGCATACGAGGGAGAGATAACGCAGCTTCTTCCGTTTCACTCCTCCTTCTGGGGTCAAAGGGCGCGAGTGGCGGAGGCGTTACGCCACGCGCTGCCGGCGGACAATAAAGCCGACGAAATAGCGTCGATCCCGCTCAGTCGGTGCCGCAACGACGTCGCGACGTCGGTGTCAAAGTACAGTTCCGAAGCGAAGGAGGTGGCGGAGGAGGAGGAGGAGGAGGCGGAGGCGGCAAGCGCGCGACGGTGATGACGATAACGCGAGTCACGGCAGAGCGTTCCCGGCGGTGACGGCGTGCGCGCGTTTTTCATCCCCGGTCTCTCGAATCGGTCAGGAATCGGGATCCGGACATAAAAGAGACGTACTTCGATTCCGAGTGGCCGACAACCTTCCTCGAAGGTGAAAAAGTGTTGAGCTTTCTTGAGGGCGCAAGAGGCAAAATTTCGAAAAAGAAATCTCAGAAATTTTTCAAGGGACCTGTTTCCAAAGTGGAAGTTTTCCTTCACTGAGGAGGAAAAGGATTGCAAAAGAAACAAAAAGGATTGTAAAAAAAAATATCTTTTAAGGGAAGATA